GGGGCAATATTTATTCAGAAAATTTACGTTCCAGCACTAAACTGTAAAGTTCCAGTCTCTCATATTTACGATTCCCTGGGAGACAATATAATCGTACTTTCAGACATTCCCACGGAGGTAAGAACGTGAATGTTCGGGCGGCGTTCATTCACGTTATCGGTGATCTGATCCAATCGATTGGTGTACTGATCGCAGCTTTAGTCATTAAGGTAATATATCCATTTTTTACTACTACCGATAGTTTTCACTTTTTTAATCGATTTTTGTTTAGTTTACCGGCTGGGAACTGGCTGATCCAATTTGCACGTTCCTCTTCTCGATAATCGTACTCTTCACCACAATTCATGTATTACGCGATATCTTCTATGTTCTTATGGAAGGTATGGTTTTCATATACAATGACATTTTTGAGCAAATTCAGATTTTTTTTATTTTTGAAAAGCTGTTCTGTGATTGGTTCTAGGCGTTTCCAGAGCTCTTACCGTATACTTTAGCCACGCCCCGTCACATGGATTTCAATGCCGTAAAAGAGGATTTGGCAGCCATAGAGAATGTTCAAAGTGTACATGATTTACATATGTGGTCTTTGAACATGGATAAGACGGCCCTATCTGTACATCTTGCAATAGGTAAGTGTCGTGGATTTTTAATTTTTTTTATATTTTTAATTTTTTTTTGAATGGGCGCCTTCACTCCACTGGTGGGCACACTACTGCCTGCATTGAATAGATAGGTGCCTCTTCCTCGTGCCACTTCACTGTAAGGGAATTCGGTAAGGGATGGCAGCCGAGCCCAAAAATGTACCTTAGCGAGTTGCCGCAGTGCGACAACTATCTAGTTATCCATGCGCTGAGTGACGCAGTTGAGTCCTTCATAGTTGATGAGCTCAATAAGCCGTCTCTCGCCTACTTGTTGAAAGTTATGGAGCATGGAAAAAATTCCAATACTAATTTTTGTGAAAAGTGACCTCGTGTTTGCAGCATAGTATGTCACGGCAATGTACTCATCAATATGTCGAGTACATTGCCGTGACATACATTGCTCTTTATCTGCGAAGATGACATCAGTAATAAAAGTCTTGACGAAAATACAATCAATGTTTATTGCAGATTCATCAGAACACGCTATTAGTACGGTAACAGCTGCTCGTACGTTGATTCGACAGAAGTATGGCATTTCAAAAGCTACCGTACAAGTGGAATCGTACGATAAGAGCATGAACTCATGCGAACAGTGCCTGAGTTAATAGCCACACCGAAAACTGGAACGGATTCGGTCAGACCATGCATGCTCTTGAAAGATTTCCGCTGGAAAGACTTGAACTCGTGCGTGTTTCTGTGTTGTGTTGCAAAGTGCAGCATGTTCCTTCGACTTTACTGTTTTGTTTCCTCGTAGGCAAGTCGTCAGCTTTTAGTAAGCGTTAATTTGTTATTCATTAAGGAGTCCATATGCTGACTCGTCTTTAAAGCACATAAGATGCTCAGGATGCTATAGCTTGATGCTCTTAAATTGCCTTCTTTATTAATTTTTTTATTTGCAACTTAATTGCCTGTCACTTGTAAAGTGTAAACGCTCAGCTGAAAACCGCTTGTCGACGTCTGTATAGGTTCCCATGTGTGGAATTTCTTCCCCAAGCATAAAATCTACATCAACAGGTCACAAGCAATGTGCTGAGTGTGTCGTGCATACGGGAAGCCGTCTGAGCCCACGGCATGTAGATTACTTGTCTTCTTACTTCTGACTAATCATTCAGAATATATTGATTCCTTTTCTTTTTGTAATAATCTACTCACTTGTTACTGTGATAATATCAATTCTTTTCTCTTCGTTGTTAATATTAGAATAATTCAGCGTAAATTATTCTGAGCTGTTCATGCTAATCGTCAGAGTTGACTTTAATGACACGTTGTATCGTACATTGCCTTATTACTTAACTTGAACGGATGAACATTTTTTCCTTGTGATCTTCTTTCATCTGAAAAATGAGGATTGCAAAAGTCCTAGTACGAGTACTAGTACTACCTCTTTAGAAATCAAGATTTCGGTAAGTTACTGATATAATTTTTCTCGAAGGTTGAGTGCGTTGTCACCTCATGCAAAGGTGCTCCAGCGGCACATGTGCGCGTTGCGGTCGCGGTGCGTTCCATGTCCGAATGCGTTGGCATCTTTGCTGATGTTAGTTTTACAATAGTCTTTTTTTAATGCTGTGTTGATTCGAGTAACCAGTTTTATTCGTTTATTTTTCTTCTCTTTGTGCATTCGAATCGCGCAGGGTACGCATAGATTGCGTCAGGAAATTTACATCTTGTTACGGTACACACCGATCGGTCGTTAAGGCCTCATTGCTATTTATACAGGTTATTTAAATAATCTAACGTTAAACGGAACGAATATCTCCGAATGCTCTAGCTATGTGTATGTAGGTCGGGAAGTCAACATGATGAACGACCTAGCTTCAGAGCTGTGCAGAAGGAAACGCGCCACGTGGGGAGCATTTAAGAATATCGAGGGAATAGTAAAGAAGTCAAAGAACACCCGGCTCCGCGCTCGCCTTTTCGACACCGCTGCCCTTTCTGCTTTGACGTACGCCTCGGTGTCTTGGACTCTACGAAAGCAGGATGAGCATGCTATCAGCGTTAGTCAACGCGCTTTGGAAAGGACGATGCTCGGAATTTTCCTACACGTGCAAGTACAGAAGGGAATTCGGAGTTCCGAGCTCCGTAAACGAACTAAGATCAGGGATGCCGTTGATTACGCTAAGAAATCGANGAATAGTGAAGAAGTCAAAGAACACCCGGCTCCGCGCGCGCTCGCCTTTTCGACACCGCTGCCCTTTCTGCTTTGACGTACGCCTCGGTGTCTTGGACTCTACGAAAGCAGGATGAGCATGCTATCAGCGTTAGTCAACGCGCTTTGGAAAGGACGATGCTCGGAATTTTCCTACACACGCAAGTACAGAAGGGAATTCGGAGTTCCGAGCTCCGTAAACGAACTAAGATCAGGGATGCCGTTGATTACGCTAAGAAATCGAAGATCAGGTGGGCCGGACACGTTATGCGATATTGTGAAGACCGTTGGACCAGGGCGGTTACTGACTGGATCCCTCGGGACATCAAACGAACTCCAGGAAGGCCGCCAACGAATGATCAGACTTCTTCACGAAAGCTCTCAACGACAGGAATGTTGAACCTCGAGTCCCTGAAGCGAGACGATTCACTGGACCACTCTGGCTCGTGACAGGGACAAATGGAGACGTTACTGGCACCCGCTTGAGGAAGTCGATGATCAACGGGACGACAGGTAATACAGGTGATTTCAGTAACTTAGGAAAGATTTTGAAAGTCAGTGAAATCTTTGAAAGCATCACAGTAGGAATAAATACAATTGAAGGTAAGAATGAGTCTCTACTCACTCTCGCCATTTTTTCTGTTTTTTTTAAATTTATAGCTATGTCAAGTAATCAGATGTAGCAAGTAATACAAGCAAGTAGTAGTAATAGCAATAAGTAATACAAAACACCATAAGATAATATTAAATACAATTAGATATATAACAATACCATGGCATGTATTGTTATATGTCTAAATGTATTTAATCTATTAAACAAGGAAATAAGAGCGGCGCTGCGCAGGTGTGGCCTGAAGGGCATGGTACTTTTGGCCGAAATCCCACCTGAAAATCCTAAGCAGCGGCTGGTTCGAAACCGCTGCTACGATCGAGTTTGCCTCACTCCCAATTGCGTCATCTGCCCAAATTGATAGGAGGGCGAATGCATGGCACCAGGCGTGATCTACCTGATCCCATGCAATCTATTCGAGGATGAATATATTGGGGAGACTGGGCGACCTCTGTGCGTTAAGGTCAAGGAACATCTGGAGCCCTTAAGTCGAGGAAGGGTGGAGACCTTCTTGGGTGCTCACCGAGTAGAGTCCCATGAAGCTGCGGTATTCGAAATTACTTTGGATTCTGTAACGTGAACCGCTCACTTCGGCACGGGAACACTTGAAGCATTTTTCGTCAACGCCGGGCTCCCAAAAATGAATAGGAAGGTTGAGTGCCTAGCCGCAGCTAGTGTGGGTTTTGTACGCCTTTGGTATCACGGCGAGAGGGGTAGGGCATATCATCTAAAGCTATCCCCAAGTCCCTATGTGTCAGTTTACAGCGGTCGTCCAAACGATTAGGTCGAGAGAACTGGTTTTTGAAGTTAAATGTTGAATGAGGGAAGGATAGCGATTATCGTTAGGTTTCCAACTCTGAAAAAGGCGATAATACCGAAACGCGAGTTGATAAGAACCTATTTAAAATCTTGGTAACTAGTTTCATAAAAAAAGTAAAAATAAAATTAGTTCAAAGCCATGCCAAGGTTCATTGAGATTCGAACATGGATGCTTATAACAATATCGTTTTATCCCCGTTTTGTAAGTTTCATCTCCGGGGACTCGGTGGCTTAAGTCGGATGGACTCGAAGAACGGAGTAGTTAGGCGGTACCCGATTCTTCAAACTTGTTCCTGTTGTTTGGGTACTTCACTCGGATGTTCCTCATCAAAATGTGGTAGTTCTTTTGGGCCGTCCTACCTGTAGGAAACTCAGGATACAGTGAGATGAAGGCCCCGTTTGAAAAGGGGCCTTTGCTCCTCGGCTTTGCGGAATTACCAGTACCACTGGAGTTCTAACTGGCATTGATTTCCTTGAGTAAGTCCCAGTACCGCTTCCATTCGTCGCTCTTGCGAGGCAGTATTGTGCAGAGGGACCTCCTGGCTCGAGTAATACGGAACGCGTCATTCCTTTTGTACAAAGGCTGTTTCGTGGAAGAGTTTGTCTAATCGTTATGGCGACGTACATATGTCAGGACGTTTACGTGGCAGTGGAGGATTAAATGCCCAATGACCGCCGCGTCAATTGTTCTTTTAGTTCACAACTTAAATAGATAAGGCAGTGTCCATCAAGGCTAACCCAGCGAGTACCGTAGAATCGCGTGATACTCCAATTCACCTGGTCTTCGATTTGCACCTAGGACAGCATCGTTCAGCCGGGGATTCCGATTTTTTTTCTCCTCCGAGTGTGAGGAAATCCACGTGGTTGACCACAGAGTCCATTTCTCTGAGACAAAGCCGATGTGAAGTAACTGTAGCTGTATAGCTGTCTCTAATGAATTCTGCAACTGCTCCACCGGAACTTTCAGAGAGTACTGGAGACAACGATTTCCTCAAAAGTGATCGATCTCTGATTGACGACACACCATGAGCCAATCTTGAGTTGATTCAGAAGTTACAGGCGGAATTCTGATTTTCCAGGAGCAAGTGATGAATACTGATCTGAAATCGACTGTGTAAACACCCACGTGGCGAATTCTCAGATAACTGATACGTCACTTCCAGATTCTGGGAAGGTTCATTTCAGTTTCATGCTCGATGGAGCCTATTGCGGAAAACCAGAGAGGTCTGTGCTTAGTTTTCCAGTTAACGTTCCTGTCTACTCATTAGGCTGACAATGTGTCCATCATGCGGCTATCTAAAAGCCCTTTAAGTCTGCCCGACGTATCGATTCAATGTGATTGGTCCAATAAAGGAATTCGTGGACACCACATTGACTGCTTTGTATTTTCGTGCAACGAGCTCATTAATGAGTAAAATGGTGAACGCCGTGTCCGATTCAACGACACACGTACGTTTCTGTTTATACGAACTACGGAATAAGCTGTTTTGATCAGAAAGTTCTCACGATTCACTCCATCGGCATTTCTCTGAAGGCAATGCCCACGAAACCCTGTGCTCGGCAGTCTGTTGGTGAAGGAAATTCCACTTGATCCCCCTTGGAAGTTCTCAACCTCGAGGCTTTAATCGTTCTCATTCAAGTTGAAGACCTTAGGGAATAGCTAGGCGTTATATCTGTTTCTGAAGATGGTTTTGTTTTTGGGATTGGAATTTTTTTAGCCATAGTTAGAGAAAGCTAAGTCCCAGTCGATGTAACGCTTCCCCCAGTGCAGCAGAACAGTATAAGATTGTTCACAATAGACCTCCATACAAGTGCGATTTCTGCTCAAGTTGACTCGTCCTACTTGGGGAGGTGATTAGCCTGTATCGACGTACAGCCTTACAGTCAGTCGGTATGAGAAAGTCTGTAGGCATTCATGAACCACGAGTCCATGGGACTAGTGGCAAGGAGAAAAAAGGGAGTTGAATAGTCAGATGGTGCCCTATATTTGACTAAAGCTATCTGTCATTAAAAGCTTCGGATAGATCTGACCATCGTAGGTGAAAGTTTAGGACATAACGGTGAAGCCTAGATCTTCTCCGTTCGTGCCCAGTCGCTTTTAGTGCGGGTTTTTTTTATCTAAAGAAACTGCAGAAAAATACTCGTTGTCACATAATATTACACAATGCTTTGTCGTATAGGTTTGTTATGATGGAACCGTTTATTAGGTCGACGTTTCGACTACTCGTCTTCTTCAAAGATCTGAAAGTAGTTCGGAGCCCTTCGTCTGCGGCTTGCTTCACCAAGCGCCCAAACGCACTAGGCCTGTTGCAGCTACACACAGAAACTCAGCACCGAAACTTCCCTCAAGAAACCAACCTCCTGCGGTTCCACCAGCGCTGTCGTCCCACTCTATTTCGTGAACAACA